GGCCGGGCGGGGCGCGCACCTCCCGCGCGTGGGCGCCTCCGGGAGTCGTGCGGCCGCGCGTCCTGCCGCCCGCACGCTCCCAGGCGTCAGCGTGGAAGACTCGGGAGGCGGTGGGAGCGAACCGCGGGGGTTGCAGCGTGTCTGGGTGGCGAGCGCTGCGCGGTGGCCCGACGGCCTGGGTGTGTGCACGGGAGTGTGTGCACACGTGCGCGTGGACCTCTGGGGTGCCTCGGCCTGGCGCGCACGCCCCTGGGGGTCCGGGTGTGCCCGTGAGTCTGGGGAGCGTGCCGGTGGAGCGTGTGCGTGCGGCCCGCGCAGCCGGGCGGGCGGGAGCCGCAGGGAGGAGCGTGGGCGCGCGGGTCTTTGTGCCCGCGGGTGTGCGCGTGGGCGCCGCCACCCGCTGTCCCGGGGGCTGACAGCTGTCCCGGAGGATGCTGCCGGGGTTCGGCCCTTATCGCTCCCGCCCTGTTCCTTCCCGGAACCGAGCACCCTCCCCCGCCCCCCACCCCTCCGCCCTGCCTCTGCTCTGCGCAGCGAAGGGAACCCGCCCCTGGGTTCCTCGAAAGCCCGGCGGGGCGCTGGGAGACCCTGGAGGCTACCCGTCCGGCCCAGCGGGTCGCCGCGGAGCGGGGAGAGGCGGGAGGGGGGGAGAGAAGCGCGAAGATGCTGCCGCAGCCGCAGCGGAGGAGCCGGGACCCGCCATCCCCGTCCCCGCCCTGCGCGGTCCGGCCTCTCCAGCCTTCTCTTCGCGCGCCTCCGCGCCCCCTCAGCCTCCTGCGCTGAAGCCGCTGCCTCACGCCCCCTCCAGGCCCCCGGTGTTTTCTCGCTCGTCCAGCCTCTCGCTCAGCAGGCTCAGTCTCTCTTTCCCCCTTCCACTCTCTCCTTCCTTTCCCTTCCCGGTGCCCTCTTCTCTTCTCATGTCCTGGAGTCCCTGGACAGGGGCTGAGGGCCGGGCAATGGAGGTAAGGGGGAGGACAGCGGTGGGGGGACTGGGTGTGCCCCGGTCCCAAGTGTCCCGGCAGAGGGACGTGAAGATAGGACACCTATGGGCAGTAGGACTGGGGACTCCGAGGACCTTTGGGTGTGTGGGGGTTGGAAGAGGAGGGTGTGGGGGTGGCAGCCCAGGTTATTGATCCCGGCCTCCCTGGTTCTACCCACAGTGACCACAGCTCCCCAGGAGCCCCCTGCCCGGCCTCCCCAGGCGGGCAGTGGAGTCAACCGGGCCCCTGGGCGCGCCATGCGCAGCACCACCCTACTGGCGTTGCTGGCCCTGGTCCTACTCTACTTGGTATCCGGTGCCCTGGTGTTCCAGGCCCTGGAGCAGCCCCACGAGCAGCAGGCCCAGAGGGAGCTGGGGGAGGTCCGAGAGAAGTTCCTGAGGGCCCATCCATGTGTGAGCGACCAGGACCTGGGGCTCTTCATCAAGGTGCGTGGGTGGGCAGGAACCCCTTCAGCAGTCACCTTGACCCCCCCCTCCCCCGGAAACTAGCTGCATGCCAGTGGGGCCCCGCGCTGGGTTGCTGCTGGCACCCCCTGACGGTAGGGTGCCGCTGAGGGGCGCAGGCCAGAGGCTGCGATCCGGCTCTCTGGGTTTTCAGTATCGCGGCCATGGGGGCATTGATTTGCCTGGCCGTGCCTGGCATTGGACTGAGCCCCTGGACTGTCTTCTTCAGTGTGACTGACGGTGGTTGAGTGAAGGAACGAGTGAAGGAAGAAATGAATAGATGGCTGGAGCCCGTGAGATATGTCACATTTTCACAGGCCTACCTCACCGGCTCAAGGTTGCCAAACGAAACCCAGGGCGCCTGGATACTTGTGAATTTTAGCCACTAAGCAGCGAATAGTTTTTAAAAATAAATACGCCCTGCGCAGTATTTTTGTCTCCTAAACCTGGCCATGCCACACTGGTTTCTCTACTGCTTTGGAGTCACCGACGCCTTGGAGACACCCAAGAACACTGAACACGCCCCCTAACCCCTGGAAAAATGCACATGTAAACACGTCCGGGTGATTTCAGAGGGCTTCGGGATCCCCTAAGCTTGCCACCGGGATGCCAGGTTAGGCACCCCTTCACTGCCAGCGCACGGGCTTATGATGAGAAGGCTGGAGGAAGGGGCAAGGCAGGGGTGGGGTCAGCTTTGGGTTCAGTGACTAACAGCGCCGGGCTTCAGCCTGCTGGGGGTACCGTCAGGCAAGCACCTTCGTCGCTTCCTCTGATTTCTGAGCGACGTCATGTAAAACCTCCAAGGTTTCACGTTAATAAATTAATGTTTATTACTTTACTGAAGAGTCCCCCTCTTTCTCCGCCTGTTCTTTGGGAGGGAGGAGCCATCTGCACGGAGGCCTCCGTGTTCCAGCTGATTCCCAAGGTGGCAGGACCAGGAGCCCAGATGAGGGGCAGGGTGGGGCCGGGACACAGGCGGCCTGACGTCCTCTCTGATACTTCCAGAATGCAGAGGAAGGCTCAGAGAGGCCCGGGCAGGAGAATGTGTCTGGCCAGACCACAGGGCAGAGGAAGGGAGGGAGGGAATCTGACCTATTTTTTCTCCACAGTGGAAATGCTTTTTCCCTGGATAAAAAAAGAAGAAAAGGAATGGCAGAAATTAGAAGTGTGGGCGACAGCTGCTTTCTCTTCCACAATTAGGGAGGCAGCAATTATGCACCTACTGGCTGGTCACCATAGAGTGACCAGGGAAATGCATAGGGGGTGGAACAGGTGCAGGTACAGGCTATACCGGAGAGGATGTCACTTCGGGATGAGGGGACAGATCCAGGGACAGGTTACTGTAGGATTCAATGGAAAGGGAACTTTCCTTGCTCCCTTCTCTGTTAAACACCTGTTGTGTGCCGGGCCCTGGGCTAGGTGCTGGGGGCTTTGAGGGGGAAGCCAGGGGCCTTGGGGAGGAGCTGGAAATTGACGGGAGGCAGGTGAGAGGCGCAGGATTTAGAGATGTGCGATTGGGTTGCCAGAGACCTACCGGCAGAGGAACAGCATGGGCAAAGGCGGGGAAGCTGGAAAGCTCAGAGTGTTTTGCAGAGCTCGGGTTTAGCAGATGCCTCGTCACTGGAAGCAAAAATTAGAACACACAGGATGACAAAGGATTTTTTTCCCCCTAAGTAGTGAATTTATTGGAAAAGTCTTGCAAAATAAAAATCAAATCACTTTAATCATACATTTCACTTCTTGGCTTCATTTAAAAATTATTATGACAGGAAATGGGATCATCTCAAAATCTGGGGGTAAAGTCACGGCAGCTTGGGTTCCCAATGGGAGCCCCAGGAGAGGAGACTGGAAAAAAAGGAGGTTGGGAACAGGGACTTGAATGCTGGGCTGGGAGTTTGGATGCTATGCTAAGACAGCAGGGAGCTACGGAGGATTTGGGGCAGTCGCCTTAAGAAGATGAATTTGGAATGGGTCTTGCTGATGAGGATTGCAGTCAGAGAGAAAGAATGTGCTTTATGATCGCCTCCATGGCCCTGTGCGGTGGCTCTGTGCTCCTTCGGTAAGAGCTCCTCCGTCACTTAAGGCAGATACTCTCAAAACACGGACTCTGCCTTGGAGGGACCTACAAGGTGGCAGGAGGGACAGACACATGGCCACTGCATTAATCTAATCATATCTATTGAGGACCAACCAGGTAGCACAGGGTTTGGCTTGGACTTCAGCAGGGTGGGCGGGGGCTTGTGTGTCCACGAACCTTCAAATATTGGATGCAAAATCTGATGGCATCCGAACCCTCCTGGGGGAAGGGCCCCTGACTTCCATCAGATTTTCTAAGGCAAGGAACTCAAACTCAGCTTCCATAGCGGAGATGGAAATGGTGGGCTGGACATCACTGGGCATGATCACCACTGGGGACTGAGTTAACAAATACACAGGGCTTAATTTGTTGCGAGTGCTTTAACTCTTCACAACGCTCTGAGGTAGGTGCTGTTACCATCATCCCCACTTGACAGGGGCAGAAACAGGCACAGAGTGAGTGTTAACTTGCCTGAGGTCAAGATTTAAACCCAGGCTGACTGCGGCCGGGTCTGTGCTCCTGACCACTGTAAATTTGCAATCGTTTGTGTGAAATTAAAGGACAGAAGACTAAAATGCTTCTAAAACAAGGTGGAGGCCAAACAAAATTGGGCCGCCCAATCTGCAATGTCTCCTCTGAGGGACTGGCCTCAGGAAGA